TCTCTCTCTCTCTCTCTCTCTCTCTCTCTCTCTCTCTCTGCAGGGAGCATGCTTGCTTCGTAACCACATAAGTAACGGGTTGGCCATGGATTTTTCGACCCATGTTGTCTCCTTTGAAGAACACGCTCTCTTTGCTAATCGCCAAGCCTCTTCTCTTCTAGTTATCGGCTCATTTTCATCCCCTTCGAAAGATGTTTCGGGGTTTACCGAGTGGGCCAGAAGAACCTGAAACCTATTCTATTCTCCTGTTGTTCGTTTGTTTGGGATCAACTCGATTGCTTTTTATCTGATGTCCATAGAGTGTCTACTCGAAAACAGTGGAGGGTTCGGAACAAGTAGCTAACCATTGATCAATGGAAGCCCAGCTATCACTCATCCCTGGTTCTTATGATTCATTCTTGGGTGCGTTTCTAGGGTCTCCCCCTTTATGCCTAAAACCTAGGCGTCTTTCAGAGTCTTGCTAATCATTGTGGGGAATATTATGAACTGGATTAAGATTCTGTGGTGGGATAGGATATGTCCTTTGTTAGAATCAAAGTCTTATGAATCCCTAAGCGATCTATCTCAAAGTTGGTCATGACAATTTTCTTTTAGATATTATTGTTGAAGGCAATTCTACCCCTCCTTTTGATTCAACTTCGGATCATGATATAAAGGCTGTGATTAAAAATGAACCACTTGAATCTTGGGTGGAGGTTGTCAAGAAACCTTCTTCCAAATCTCATAAACCAGCTTCAGCAAAGCCTTTCATGGTGAGGCACGCACCATGGAAGATTCTCCCATCCATTGGATCCTCCAAATCAACCTCCTCTTGCAATTCAAATTCAGCAGTTACAGAGAGAAAAAAATGGATCCCAACTGGCCATTTGTTTCAAGCTTATTTCACAAGATTTTCTTTTAATGGTGCAGGACCATCTAAGGAAGGTTCGATTGGATTGTCTTTGAAAATCTTCGACCTACCTGGTGTTACCTTTTTAGATAGGGACCCAAAACCATACTCCTTACGGCTGGCAATTTCCTTAGATGGGTTGTTGATCATCCAACTATCATGGAAGGTAATTATGCAACTAGTGCAACTCCTCATTTGGATAGTGCAAGTGATTGTCTTGCTATTATGGAAGGCTTTCCTACAACCAGTGAAGTTCCCTTTTCGAGTGACACACCCTCTTTGGATGGTGAAGAAGCTAATTATGATGCGGAGGTCACAGTTAATGGTCCAATCAAAGCTCTGGTTCCAACACCTACTGCTACGGATGTTTCATTGGCAGTCTTTGCCCGTGAATTTCTTAGCAACCTAGCACAAGTGTATGATGTCGATCTCCCTGTGGTTACTGCTGAACTGTTGATTGATTCCCCCAACTCTCAATCCAAGGACCATGCTGCGTACGTAGGTATGTTAGGGGACATGGGTTCCTCCTTCCAAGCTCCAATTCAGCAGGTTCTCAGTGCTATGGATGGCATTTCCCAGGCAGCTGCTGAGGCAATAGGCAACAATGTTGTCCCTCCTTCGATGAATGATACGTCTATGGAAGACTTGAATGCTTCCTCTTTTCCACCTGCTTTTGCTCTTGCAAGTGAGTCTCCCATCATCAATCTAGATGAATCTGATGTTATTCCGTCTTTAGAAATCCAAGCTACTGCAAAAGCTAAAGGTAAGAGCATAATTCCACATAAACCTACTCGTTCATCAGTTAGACTTGCAACTCGATGCACCACACCCCGCTCGGTGGCTGGTGGTAATTCATTTAGAGTCATATGCAATGAAAATCAGCCCCTGGTTAGCTCTTCTTCCTCAATTGATTCGGTCGAAGATGGTGGCTTTGATGGGTCGGATACTATCTCATATTTTTATGAAGATCATTAGATGGAACGTGTGGGGACTTGGAGAAGAATGTAGGTGAAAAGAGGTTCTTTTTGTAGCTTCTAAATTCCATCCTTTTGCTTTACTCTTATAGGAAACTAAATGTTCTAATCCCTCTTTTTTGGATGCTAAGAAAATATGGGGTAATAGTTATGTCTGTTTTGAGGGGATTGAACCTCAAGGTAGTTATGGTGGTTTATGGGATACTATGATTCTTCTGTGCTGCAACGTTTTTAAAACTGATAGATGTATTGCTATCACTTTTGAAGGGCCTCTTAGAAATTTTTGTTGGGTGCTAGTTAATGTTTATGGGCATAATAATTCTGCTCATAAGCCTACTATTTTAGATGACATTTTCAATATCTCTATTTCTTTTGGGCTGCTTGTTTGTACTAAGGGGGACTTCAACTTGATTAGGCATTTGGATGAAATTTCATTTGGATGAAATTTCTTCCTCTAGTCACTTTAATTCACATATGCACCTGTTCAATGAATTTATTATGAGGAACAACCTCCTTGATCTTCCTGTTTCTAGGGCACATTTCACAAGTGTCAATCATTTAATTCTTTCAAAGCTAGACAGATTCTTGATTTCTGCCGAATGGGAGAAAGTCTTTCCTCTTCTTAAGGTTAACGCTTTAATTAAGCTCTCTTCAGATAACTTGCCATTGTGTCTTCATACTGGTGAAGTAATTGCTGGT